TTCCCTGCTTGCTAAAAAAAATTCAATTTTTCGATGTGCGCCATATATTTTTCATGACCTTAGCAGCGTGACATTGCCAGTAATTAACCGGTAGAGCAGTATACATACTTACCGTATGTATACTATTAAACTCAAAGGCCAAGATGATGCTTCACTGAAGCATCATGCTGGCCCCTAGATAGTCGACGACTCTACCGAGATTGCTTCGATGACAACCTGCACTTCTGGCTTGATACCGCTGCACACAACTTGGGAGATGAACCCTAGTGCTCGTCGCCTGTATGGGACTGTCTCGGTGTCGGCTGATATCAGTGATAGCGTTGAATGCTCTCTGAGAACTCGCATACGAATACAATATCCTAAACGTTTTTATCCTTATCAGATGGCAATTCACAGTCACAATCAAGCAAGGTAAAGTGCAGAACGTCACAATCTCTGCATCAATCTTTCATGGTGACCACAGCGGAACTCATGGGAAGCGATAGTCGATCTAATAGTAGCGTAAATAATAGTAAATATTGTGTTTTGTCTTAGTCATATAAATTGTATTAATTCTCTCCTGGGCGACTGATCAACTTTTCTTGTTAACGGCTTTCCCTGTTTACCAACTTTCCCTGTTAACGGTTCTTTTTTGTTTTTAATTTTTGGGGAATGATCTCGCTTCATGTGTTAAGCAAATGCAGCTTTTTTTATTTGCTGATGATATTAGGTTGTTCACGGTGGTTAAAGTGGATGAAGATAGTGAATTTCTTCAGCGTGATATAGATTCTATTTCGACGTGGTGTTCTTAAAATGGCCTATTCTTAAATGAGTCAAAGACGAAAGTTATCTCTTTTTTCTAGAAAGCGCGAAATGTTTAATTTTTCATATACATTAGATTCTGCCTATATTATTCGTGTTGAGGTTATCTGGAATCTCAAAGTTTTTTTGTTTTTTTTTTAATGGATATTGCGACTAATTTTAATTATCACGTAACTGCAACGACGAATGCTCCCTTTAGAGTTCTTGGAGCCATTACGCGATTAATGCGCAGATTTTCTAAACCATTTTTTATGTTTGTTTTCTTCAATGGCGAGTAGTCGTGTCGAATATGCCTCAACTGTATGGATCTATATTGCAGTGACTAACTCATGTCTACTTGAACGTGTTCAACGTAAATTCTTTTCGTGTATTGTTTGATCGTTATTTTCACTCGAAATATTTCTACAGTTATGAAAGGATTTGGGACCTCGTGAAATTGGACACGTTCCACAACAGGAGAACGATCCGTAGATTGATGTTTTTGTATAAGATCGTAAATGGTACCATTGATTCACCAGCGCTACCAGTCTACTTGCGCGGTCCTCGTAGGTCTAGTAGACTCGTTGTATCTTCTGATTTATATCACACATCATTCACGACACGCCTTCAATTTATGTATAATCATTTAGAAAGATTTGTGGGAATGTTAGCTTATACATTTTTCATAAAGAGCGTAACTTTAGAAATAGCATTGCTACCAATGTTTTATCCTAACTTTTTTTTAACAAATAATTTATAATCTGACATTCATAAGAGGAACACCACTAAGGAGGCGTTATGCTTTTTGTGGGTAACTCAAAATAAATAAATAAATAAAGACAATAAAAAAACAATATCTCAAGATCACCCTCTCAAAGTTCCCGCAACATATTTTCGAATAGGTGACCTCGAGTATATAAACGGTGAGGCCATATTCGTCGCATCCCGCACGTTTATACGCACGGTAAACACTCACATAAATAAAAAAAGTCATCCAAAGAAATAAAATAAAGTCATCTGACCATATAGAAAAAGAATTTTTTTTTTAGAAATAGAAACAGGTTAAGATAGGGAGGGAGCGAGGATGGAGAATAGAGGCGGCGGGAAGATTATAGCAGAGACCAATTACTTGATTACAACCAGTGACAGCCCAAGAAACGCGGGGCGTGATTTGTTCGGTTGCAATTCGTTCTTTGGCGTGCTGGTCGACTAATGCCGACACTGCATTGACTGCATGCAGTGTGATAACAAGATGGATCGCCACTCGCCACCATCCTGCCTTTCTTCATCTCTGGGTGACTACAGCGGTCAATACTGTCACACCCTGGGGCAATACAGACTCGTCCAACACAAGGTTGGAGACGAAAGTTTGCCGAGCGCGACGATTGGACTTGGGCAACAAAAGCACGGCGGAGTCGTCGCGAAAGTCCAATCCACGCGCTCCGTGAACTTCGGGCCCAACTGGCGTTTGTCGAGTTTAGGGCAACTGGTCGAATGCAGACTTTGGAGGCTTCAGCTTTACGCTCCGGGCGCCACATCGAGAAAAAGCACTATACTTCTCCTCGCCTCTATGCTGCGTTCAAACTGCCGTTGCAAATTTCATTAAAAAAAAATGGAGAGCCCACCCACTTTACGTGAAGATTGAGGACCAGTGAAGCTGTTTTCTTTACGACAACTTTACGACATTTCTACTACATCTAATGCAATTTACACATGATTGCAATGAAGACACGTACACGACTTCGTAGTTTACTTTTCTTCATTTAATTCTTAGTGACTAATGTAATCATTGCCTTATGGTCACTTATGGGAAAGTTCTAAACCCAATTTTTCGAGGCACACCTAGAGAACAGTTTTTTTTTTTTTTTCGATTTAGCTCAAGTCTTTTTATCAGCATCACGGAAGCGAAAGAAAAGAAGGTTACATCGGCGGCGTTCTGCCCTCAGCCTGGTCACAGCGCTCTCTTAGCTGAGATAAGTCGGTGACCGTAGATAATAACACGGGATCAGGACCTCGCTATCTAATAACGTTAAGTAAGGCTGACTCACGGGGGTTGCCCCATCTTTTTATTTATACTTGCCACGACCAATCGGAACGAAGGAGCACCGTTTAAACGGGAGTTTTTCGTTAACATCCATGGACGCATTTTTTCCAGACCCTAGCACATAACAACTTCGCTGTAAAAAAAAAAAAAAAATCATGAACCACTCCACTTTGTGAAGGTGGATACCAGCGAAGCTGTTCAGCACACGACACAGACGTGTCACAAAATTCTGAGTAAATGTGCGAACACATTTATTGCCTTGCTCGGTGGTCATCGATCAAGTGCAGGTGGTCACCGACAACACTTGCAGCGCACGAGTCCGCTCTGCAGGATCCCGCACATTGCCAATGTTAGTCAACTCGTTGTCAAACCACGGCCGATCACACACCCTCCAACTATTACACCCACACTGTCTGTCCAGAAAGTCCATATTGAATTTAGCTTAAGCTCCATTAAAGCTGTCCAATTTAGCAGCATGGAACCTGCGTCTTTGTGATGCGTTCTCTGCCCCGCGACATTCCTCGTCTTGTCTGGTTTGCCGCATGCGCTTGGCGTTTTGTGCGCGATCTTCATCGGTGGTGTTTGCCACCAGCCGCCGCCGCTGACATTCTCGGTGCCGTTCCCGCCGTTGCTCCTCGTAGGCGCGTTGCTCTTCGGCAGTCCGGACTATACGCGGCCTCCCCATTACGACGGAAGAAGAGAAGTGAAATTGAAAATGAAAATCAGAAACTTGTCTTTCTGTTATATATATATATATATATATATATATATATATATATAAACAGAAAGACAATTTTTCGCCAGCTCTCTTTCCCTTTCCCTAACTTTAATGTAATAAATTCTATAATCACCTTCTCCCTTCTTCGTTCACAATATATGTATATATATATATATATATATACATTCGCGTGGACGACTATCGCCGCCCCGAGGAGCCGGAGAAAACTAGACACGCGCGATGGGACCGCCACCCCGGGAGAGCGGAAGGAAACTAGGCACGCAAGCGCTTGGAAAGACAACAAAGAGAGGGCGCTGCGATTTTTTGTTGACGCTTATGTGAAATTAACGGAACCCTAGCCATAACAGATCTGTCGTATACTTACCACAACGGCTGTAATTGACGTTGATCCCTGCGTGAGTAAGATCTTTTACGACACGCCAATGACGTAACACCAGGCCGGCAAAAGGCGCATGGCGAAACCCCAGAAGCTCAAATCTACGCTCTGCAAGCCTGCAGCGTCTAAGAAATTGCTGGCTGTCGACAGCAGCGTCGCTCTGGGCTGGCAGGAAGCGGCATGGAGGCCGGCAGTCCCGTAATCGGTGGAAGTAAAACGAAACCTTGTCGCGCATTGGCTGATACGTATTGGCCGTATAATTAACATGCGTAAAATTTGACGGCTTTTGAACACTCTCACCCACGAATTTTCCGTGAGTTCCGCACGTTGTGATGTTCCTGTTCGTAGTCTGAACGAAAAATATTACGCTTGTTGCGGTTACGTTTGCGTGTGTTTTGATCGGCGCGTTGCACCGTAGTGTGAAGTCAGAGCGCAGCCAATGCTGCGAGCCGCCGGAGGCGATAAAGCTGCGCCAAAGGCTCAACGCGACGGTGTTCGTTATCTTTCTGTGTGTGTGCTGTCACCGGATAAACAAATCAAGTGCAGCGAATGCACCGTGACTTTGCGTTTTTAGTAATCCATGTCTTCTGGCACGTGACTGCTCTGTGACTTGAGGTGAAACAATGTACAGTGGCGATTACCCGGAGAATTTAGAGTAGGGGTGTGCGAATATTATTTCGAATCGAATAGCATAGCGTACTGAAAAGGTTGCCGGTATATCGTGAAGCTTTCAAGCAATATGAGGGCTGTGAATGACGCAGCGATGGAATTCGAACCACTATACGCATAGCCATGCTTTTGAGCCTTTGCTACGTGAGAAAAAGTATCGAGTATTTGCCATGTTTTATACGACAGATCATTGCCAACACTGGACACACCGCCCGAACTGAAGATAGCGGCAGATTTTCGTCAGTGAAGCCAGAGCCATCTCTCAATGTGGCGTTCCTATAATCATAATGGTTCCTTCTCCCGCAGACGAGGTGAGCGTCCCGTATTTTCCCCTATCAAAGTATATTTCCAGGGACACGCATGAAGACAAAAGTCGCAGCAAAAGTCGCATCATCGTCGAAAAAAATATATTTTTTAATAATGTACAGGTACAAGCATTCAGTAAAGGCGAGCGAATCCCTCGGTCTGCTGAGAAGTTGAGCAGAACGCCGTCGGCTCAGGGGAACAGGTCGATGCCTCCGGGGAGCGTCTCGAGACCGCACTCCTTCCTCCAGTCGTCGGGGATGTACGGCTTGGCCAGATCCTTGAAGGTGGTCAGCGAGCAGCGGAAGCCCTCACAGCCCGGAATCTCGAGCCTGTACGGCTTGCGAGTCGTGTCGTTCTTGAAGAGCATTTGGATGAAGAAGTTGCCGTTGGCATCCTCGTGCAGTTCCGTAATGACCGCGGTAGACGACGGGACGGCCAGCTGGTTGAAGACTCCAAAGGCGGACGTGAAGGCGGCAATGGCCACGTCGTGCTGCGAGGGTCAAGACATTGTTCTTTTTATTTCGCGAAGAAAGCCGATTTGCGGTCATGCGCGTCAGAAAACAGGGAACTGAGTAATCGTCCGCCGTAAGCAATAGCAGAAACACGATCGCCGTAATCTGTCTAAGAGTTGTGATTTGCCAAACACCTCCTGGATATTTTTAAAACAATAATGGAAATAAATTAAGAAGACATAAACGCAGCAGGAGCCGGTAATGTGCGCATTCATAAGCAATAACAACTCAAGAAAAGAAGGGCGTGACTTATGATGTTCCCACTTCTTGCTTCCCTATTTATTGATACCAGAACCTTATTGAGTGTAAAGCACCCGCGAAAGATAGGCGAATGGAAAACAACTTCAGTACACAACCAACAATCAACCGACTCCCTGCTATCTTGCTTTGCTTTATTACCTCATGTGGATTACCTCGTGGCTTACTAAAGCATTTGGCGTTTATATGATCAAAAACGAAGGCAGAAGGTGTGTTAAGAAATTCCATGTTCTGTTTCAGGTATCCTCGACTAATCGTGCGCTAGATGACAAAAATGGCGAATGGTGAGACAGGCTCATCCTGCCCTTCATGCAACGAGAAACAGGCGAGGTATCAATTTCTCGATAGGCTCAAATGCATTGAAAACTTTTGACTGCGGTTACAATTAGTGGGATACTTCGAGGGGGCAGCGCCGTCGACTGCGCTCCATATCGACGCGGGCCTCTTTCCGCACTCCGGCAAAAAATACCCCATTGACGTCACGCAGCTGATGTCACATCGCTCGACACGACTTTGACGTCACGCCGCGCGTCACGTCACCTGTTACCTGGCGTCAGCAGACACCATGACGTGACATTGTCATGTCAAGTCACGTTGTAGAGTGACACCACGGGACTTAATGACGTCGGGTGACACTGCGTGTCACGTGATGCGATGACGTCATGTGACACCGTGAGATCGCGTGACATTCAGACGTCACGTGACACGATGATGGCACGTAGAAACATAAGCAGATAATGGAAACAAGAAAAACAATGCGTTTTCACAGATTATGCAGGAAAGCTTTTCAGGCAATAAAATCACTAAAGTTAGTTGAGACAGCGAAAACACGGGCGTTAAAGGAGCGACGCAACGATTTTTGTAATTTGCGCAAATACCGCTTAAAACGGATCCCTAACGTTAATGACCTATGAAACACGCGTTCGTTTTTCACCCCACGCAATAGAAGTCCCAGAAAAAAATTAACGAAAAACGAGCAGCGTTCACCCCCTCAACTCGCAGCCAGAACAAGCGGTCACGTGATCTGGAGCCGATTATATGCCGCCAGTGTTGATCATAGCCACGCGCTGGGGTTGGCAAAGCGCAGGACACGCGCTGAGTTCCAGACATTGTTATGGCTCGGCTGTTGTCGTCGTTGCAGCGATTGGACACGGGCCACTACCCGAATGCTTCTCGAGCTAGCAATTATCACGAGCCCAAGTCGAGTGCCCACGCAATGCTCGGGTCCAATCTATGAACCGCATTCAAATATCGTCACTTGGGTGTACTGCGATCCCCGAGTTACGTCATCAAATTTTGCAAAGGAGAGATTGAATGAAAATGATCGCTTTTGTCCTTGAAATTACACCGCAACAAAGGAGTTTCTTGGCCAGTGGCGTTGCGTGTGAGTATCCTTGAGTCCCACTAGTGCCAGTAAGCTCGTGTCAAGTGAAAAACATTCAAATTGAATATCGTTGCACCGCTCCTTTAAATTAGGTGGAGCTGCACGCTTGAGACTTGAGTGCGCGATTTTGCAAGTGTTCTTTAGTGACCACTTAGCGGTATTAGTTTGTGTCCAATAACATTGCGCGAGTCGTTCAGGTATCCACACCAACGACTGGGGACGGTTTATGCATTCACATGCAGTTTCGTAGTTCCCTGGATTTCAAACTGAATTTCAAACTTGGGCGCGCGATTTTCGAAATGTTGTTCAGTTACCGCAAAGCTGTCCTAGTTTGTGTCCAATAAAATTGTTTAACATGTTCACGAAATGCTTTCTACTTAACACACCCTCATTGGTTCCAAAACGCTATGGAATTTTTGTCCGGTCTGTTACTCGGTTTAATGCGAAACGGCCTATGCGGACTGTTTGGTGCGCGCTCGCACCTTTACCGTTCATTCAGTCCATCTGCTCCGAAATAACACCTTAGAGGCTCCGACGTCACGCCTCAGCTGTCGCTCTGTTTCACCTTAGGGGATGTGTAAGTGGCCCGACCATTTCCTCTTCATAACTATACACATTACTTCTACTTGTATTCTGCGCTCGCACGATAATGGGCTAGCAAGCGCACTCAGAACGAGTTTCTATAGTTTATCGCTTCAAGTCAAACATCTACGCCTGCCTTTTTTTTTTGTAATTAAATATATTTTCGCATCTGGTAAACGCTCTCTCCCTACCGTTACTATTACAGTTTTCAATAAAATTAATGACGTCTAACAATTCTTTGTAATGCCTAATTAGAGCACAGCTCTTGAGGAGGAGGAGGGGAGAGCACGGAGAGGAAGGTATACTCCTCCTCCCCCTTCGTACCCTTCCTTCCTCCTCTCCTGCTCCCCTCCCATTCAGCGGGAAATTTTCGCACAATTTCCCGTTAAGTTAAGCAAAAATTTCCCCGCTAAATTTACCAAGGAATTTACAAACATTTTCCCGCTAAATTTAGTGGGGAAATTAAACAACGATTTTCCCGCTAAATTTCGCGGGGAAAATGAATTGGTGTTGAGGTCACGTGACGTCAATTTCCGCGCTCAATTTAACAAAAAAAATTTCCCCGTTAAATTTAGCAAATTTCCCGCCAAATTTAAAGAAAATTTCCCCGCTAAATTTAGCGGGTAACTTTAACCCTCGAGACGTCAGACATGACGTCACGTGTGACGTCCATCGGGGAAACGTCCCATAATGAAACGTGGGGTTACGCCGACACCGCTCAACTCGGAGACGGGAGCCTGAGATCTGCGCTCTAAAACACTTGTGCACAAACTTAACAACTGCTTGTTAACGTGCAATAGCTCTGGCCTTCCACGTCGCCATTGCGCATACATCGCACGGTTACATTCCCTTCAAATATTAAGACAGGTCTCGCTTCATACATACCGAATTCAAATCTCACATCTTGCCAGTTTAGTTTCACTATGGTTTCATTGTTCCGGCATAATATCTTGTAATTGATAAACGTGCTGCGCTGCGAACTTCGCAGCGCAGCACGTCTATCAATGTACAACCGACTAGCCCAAACCTAAGTCCAAGGTCTATTAATTTATCTTATAATACTGACTGAATAATGCACGTTAAAGGTCCTAGGGTAGCAGCCGCACTGCACCGGTCGAATCACTTATATACAGTACATGGCGACACCAGACGTCACTTTAAGGCGGACTTTTTTTTTTTTTCTTCTTGTTTGCATGTTCATATACTCCGAGGTCCACACCTCTCCCAGCAATTTTTTGAACAAAAAAACATGGAAACTAAACAAACACATTCTAACTTTCATATCAATGTGTATAATTCGGCAATTCGTTTTAGTACCATCTATTCAAATGTTCACATTTGGTACAGGAAAACCTTCAAAACAGTGATACAGGTAAAAAAAAAAAATACGGCGAGTGTGGTTGAGTTTACAAGAAAAAAAGAAATGGCCGTCACACCTATTTCAAATCGGAAGTCAATGGTGGGTGCGTACCGTATTCAGTCTGCAGCGATAGACGTTCGAGCCTAACATTACTGTTATCACGGCGAAAATTGTAGTAGGGATAAACATAAAATTGGACGGCGACGGTCAACTGACACGAAGAAGAGGTGATGTTTAAAAAAGACAGTCTCAAAATTTCTTCTCTGAGAAAGCGTCCGCCTTTCTCGTAGCCTAGGCATTAATAAAATGAAATGGTAACGATTCGACGATGTTATTTATTGCGAGACAGCACCACATTTCTTTCGTACAATAAATATTTCTAACTGCCTTTCTGCGTGTGATTGTCTGAGTTACTTTTTCTTCTCGTTATTTCACAAAAAAAAAAAAAAAAACGTTTATTTCCTAGCGCAAACGTAGGTCCCGGAAATGGCCTCTAAAAAGACGGTGCTCCCTCTCTGGTATGCGCGGAACGGAAATGACAAAAGAGGCGCATACGTACCGCTGCGTACATGTACAGCTTCACGTTGGAGTTGCCGTCTTTAACTTGATCGGCATGCCTCACGATATCTCGAATGAGAAGACCTGCAACAGAGAGATTGACAATGTAATTGTGTCACGCAAGTGTGAAATGTCAATATATATAATGATCGGTTCGTGCGCGCGATTCGGCTGCGTTCACTGGAACTGCAACGCCAGCAACCTGGAGGCATCGGGATACCCATGCGTGGCAACCAACACGAGGAGTGACTGCGATAAACAATCATCAACCGAGAAGACGCGCGCCCGTGTTCTTCGCGAGCTGTGATTGGTCGGTCGCAAGCGACGTGACTGGACAGCCTTCCTTTTAGGTTGCTTGCGTCGTGGCGTAAGACGTGCAATTGCGCGGTCGCTAACGACGCTCTCGTAAAGAACGCACTCAACACGCATGTCTGAACTAAGCAGCTATAAGGCTCAACTCCGTGGAACGAACATGCGGCTAACAAACTGAGAAGTTAGTCCGGCAGCGTTCGTTCTGTGCGCGGCGTTGGAACAGTGGCTGTTGAGCCACGCGCAGACCAAACGTGCCGCCGGGCGAAGTTCGTCACTTGTTCGCCGCACATTCGCTCCCTGGAGTGTAGCCATTGGGCTATTTTGTCACACCATGTTTCGTCATCTCCTAACTTTTAGAATATGGAGTACGTGAACGGCTGCCTACCGGCTCGGGCAATTATCTTTGGCTGGTACTTTACCGACTTTTTGAAGCACGTCATTTCATTTGTTATTTTGCGCAGGATCAGCGCCACCTCATAAAAATCATTGAGGCACCCTCGTCTAGACCAGCGCTAACGGTTTTCACGCCTACGACATGAGTGAAAGCACGTAACATGTCCAGCAGCTACGTTGTTCGGAAAAAATTACTGGCTGTGCATACCCAATACCGGACAACCAGCTTCCGAATGCCCAGTTCGAAATATTGTGGTGACGCCAGGTACATTGCACAAATAAGTTGGTCCTCTACGTCTCACCACTGGTCACCTGTGCCACTAACTAGAGGCAACCAACTGGATTAAATACACTAATACGTTTACAAATATCTGTAATGCAAAACTAGAGCGCAGCTTTTGAAGAGGAGGAGGGGAGGACACGGAGGGGAGGGCATGCCCCTCCCCTTCCTCTCCTTCTCCTCCTCCTCCTTTCCTGCTCCTCTCCTCCTGCCGCTGAATTTCTTCATGGGTAACGTGACACGAAGTCGTGACGTTATTTTAAACGCTAAATTTATTGGGGAATCTGAATTGGTGTTGGGGTTACGTGGCGTCAAACACCCTGATAAAATTTCAGGGTATTTTCAGGACGCCGCTTAGCCCGGAAACGGGCGCCTTAGAGCTGCGCTCTAATATGATGCCAAAATCGCTGCTGCCGCTACGCTGATTCTCGACGAAGTGCGTTAGCATTCAGCGCAGGAGTTCCGACTCGGCGAAGGTCGGGAATTCCAACCTCGCAACGGTCCGCATACTGTTGTGTTCGGAGGGCCAGTATGTTCTCCCGGACGTCGGCGGTTTCGGATGCAGCCACCACAGCTTCCCTCGATCGTCGCCCTACGGTCCGCACACTGTTTTTTTCGAAGAGCCAATCTTCACTTCCCGGTTTATGGCGGTTTCGCGCAAACGGCGTCGTCGCTGCACCTCGGTTTTACGTTGTCGCGTATACGTTGTGCCACCGCCACGGCCGCTCGGTCCCCTCCTGTTCCGCTCCCACGGCGCGTCATTGTAAGCGTGCCCGGAGACTCGTTCCATCTTGTGAGAGAAAGAGTGGACGTAACGAGCGAAGGAACGGAGCGAAAGAGAACGGCGGGAACCGCGCATCGGCCTCATGAAACCAGTTCAGTCCAGCTCAGTCTGGTTCAAACCACGACCGTCCAAACGAAAGACGGCTGCATATACCGGAGCAATAAATGCGAACGCATCTAAAAAAATAAGTTTACCACACAAGAAGGTGACGTCCCACGCCTCTGAGCACAGACTATATACCCCTTTTACCGTTAAACTGACAGAGTGGTGTAACGCTCGCCGGATCAATCAGTCACTTGTCATTCATGGCGTGTGAGCATACGCATAGAGCGTGATCAGGTGGTGCGAAACCGACGGTTGACTGATTAAACGAGCTCTCCTCGCCTTACTGTCAAATTAGGGGAGAGCATAGAATGGAAAGTTCCTACAGAGATCACCTTCCTCAAACCCGCTTACGAACTGGAACGAATGCACGGTTCCCCTGACTCACCGGCACGGAACTTGTTGTACGTGGGACTTTTGTAGTTGAGGATGGTGGTGTACTTGGCCACCTTTGTCATGTTTCCCCACAGTGGCAGGGCCCAGTCAGGAATCTTGAGGCCACGACTCCTCTGTTTTGGGGCGCGTGTAAAGAAGATTTTAGAGGTACGTACCTAGCATTAGTAAAATTGAGAGAGTAAACATAATTCTAGTAGATCTAGTATCAATAGATTTATTTACGGAAACACAGGAACGTCAGCCAGCGGTGTGTCACCTCGTGAAAAAAAGACATTTCCCTGTTTCGTTCCCGTCATCACAAAAAAGTTGGTATTCGACGACGACACCCACGGTCGCACTGAAAGGGACTATGTGTGTTTTGCGCAATGACATTTCAAGAAGAAACAACGCGAAACGTTGTTGCAATATTCAACAGCTCTTGGTCTTCCGTCGGAATCCAGGAGAGCAATGGGGGCGGCAACAACTTTCCGTGTAGCGGTAAGCTACCTTAGATCGACAGAGTTATGCGTTGCGCTCCTCACGTCGACAGAAGATGCCGGGGGCTTCCTTAGAGCACAATGGCTCATTCGACATGAGCTAAGATCTTAGTTCATAAATCACGCAAAATCCGCACAGCTCAGCCGCAGGTCACAAATCACGCAGTGAATGACACTTCTTTCCTATTATATTCATTAAACTCCAACTCAGGATGCTTTAGCAAACCATTTTTTTCTCGGCTATTCGAAATGTATTTTCTTTATTTTTTTTTTTTTTTTTTTATGCCTGGCATACTGCATGAAAACACTTCCGTATTTTCCGGATTCGCAAACCGTACGTGTTTAAATGTTCGAATTTCACGCGGTGCGGAGTGTACAAGGATTTTTTTTTTCAGATTAATCATTACGACCATTAATTATCTGTCATTATCAAAATATGTCATGTCTCGTGACAGAGTTTGGTAATGACAAATTATGTTAATTTTTTTTTTTTTTTTGCAGAGACAAGCCAGTCAAGTAGGCATTTTTCAAGGTACGTTGTGTATGATTTTTTTTTTTTACGCACGGAACACATTGGGGAGGTGCGAACTGTTCAACGGGTTCGACTATGCACCCGGTACAAGGTCCGCACTATCTATGCGGGCTATCTAAGGAAAACTTTTTTTTTTTCGCCAAAAAGTGCTTTTTGATTACTTAAAATCGAGTACAAATTTTAAAAAAAATGCGATACATTGTAGTGTGAATACCCGTCATAATATACAGCTCGTCTTTCTGACTCTATGCGTATATCTCAGCACACTTAACCTGAAATGCTAACATCTTAAAAGAATTGTGAACACCTTGTTTTTTTACGCTGTTGCACCTTCTTTTGATTTAAACAAACCACGATAATAGCAAACACTGGTAGGAAATACTCGAAAAGGAACTTCCGAGTCCGACAGCCGACGTTTTATTTCAGAGCACAAGATTCTCACTGGTCACCAGCTTAAATAAGGAATAAGAATGTCGCATTTATGGGATCAGAGTCAGGGCGAACACGAATAGCTCAGATAAAACAATGGATCCACCAAGGTGTGACTTGCTTGAAATACCACGAACTGCGTCCGTACCTCAAACAATCAACGCCCTCGTGATACCATTGACCCTTGACCTCATTTCCCTTGACCCTCCCACTCAATCTCTCCACCTATGCCCAACCTGAACGCCTCCATTCCGGTCTCCGCAACACAAAGTGAAGGAATCGTACACTGGGTAGTCCCTTCTCAGTGGTCCTTAGGACGTCGCTCATAGCCCTCCTGGCTTTGCGACGCAAGGCCCCATATTTTGTTTCTTCTTTTCGTTACCTTAACCTCTCACACGCCACGGACCATGAGTAGTCTATAAACATGTTACCAATGACGGTGTGGTACCCTGTATAATGGAACATCGCCTGTCCGTCTGAGGCTTCTCGAAGGCGCCTTCTCAAGTTCCACTTGCTTTTTTTTTTCAAGCTTTTTTTGATTAGAAAATATACTGACCTCAATTGTGAGCGTGTCCAGCAGGTCACGAACACTGACCCAATCATTCATCTTCTTGCCGGATAATTCCTGGAGGGTCCTCATTAGATTCTAAGGAGGCAAATGATCGTCAGTCTAGAAATCCCTACTGGCTACCGAAAACAACGTGCGATTACCACATTCTCGCGCTAAACTTACAGCGTTGCTGTTCAACACTTCAGCACCCTCGGGGGACTGACGAATACGGTCAAGTTCTTCCTCGGCCTTGGGACAGATAGCGTCCTCGTATAGCATCTAGGGGGAAAGGAAAACAAGCAACGTATCTAAACTGGTCTCGGAAAAGCCTCGGTCGAAAGAGTGTCGAGTGTTTAGCAGGGCCAAACTAACGCCATCCAAGTCAACAGGCATGGTCTGAATGGGAACCGGCTGCCAGTCCACTTCGCTGTTCCAGACTTTCTTGCCACGCGGAGGGTAGAGACCGGCGAGGTTTGTTTGGATGCTTTCCAGACACCGTTCCCGACCGGAGCTCCTGGCCTTCATCTGGTTACGAGAAGGAAAAAGAGACTCTGAGCAAGCTTCTTAAGACAAGTAAATAAATAAGCGTAAGACCCATCTCGCTCACGTTTCGAAGTGCACGTGATTCTCATTAACCATCAAATACTGCGCCAAGTCGTTTTTATACGAAACCTCTCTCTTGATGGGTAAGCTGGCATACCTGACATCGATCTTTGGTTATCTATGTGTTCTTACACAAATATTACCGCGAGTTCTTTCAAGATAAAAGAAGAAAGAACTCATTATTAAACAATATAAGAATATGATATAGTGAGTTTATTTCGTGCGTCTGTGCACGTGCGTCTATTTTACTAGCAGCAAACTTTAATGCGAGTCTCACTCTCTGCAAGGATTACTACAGCAGACATCGAGTGTTGTAGAAAATCAAGTTCTCACCCAGCATTTTGTTTTACTTTGGAATCACACTAAAGAAAATCAAAAAGGCTCGAGAACCGAACCCATTCAATGCGTTTCTCGAATATTAAATCATCACGGGGCCCACTGTTCAGCTGACGGAGGTAACCAGATTATGCATGTTGCTGGATAAAGAAAGAAAACATCAAGCAACTAAGTGTTCACCTACCTCATTGGGATCGTATGAAAGAAAATCTTCATACTTGACCCTAAGGTACCTCCCCAGGTTGTACTGGTCATTCTTTCCTTTCTGAAACATACAAATGAAAAAAAATACTTCAATTCACCGTGAGTCAAAACAACACAAAACACTTATGAAGTACTATACTACCACTGTTTTGTGTTGCATAAACCCCATAGGGTAATGAGGAAACCCCAGCTTATTGTGAAATGCCGAGAATCTGCCCATTCCACAATAAGCGCCCACCCCCAAATTTTGTGACATTGGGGAAAAAAATACGTATCTCTACATATTGTTCACCTAAGAAGTGTCCATCCCCTAGTTTTACATGATTATCTCCAAATTTTGAGCGGGTGCTTGCTCGCGATTTTACGGTAGTGGTTTCCCAATGAGCTTGCGGGGCTTACAAAAGGTTTCCCTGCAATGCTCGTGGCCCGCCCACGCTAGTCCAGAAAACATGAGAAACAAACGAAGCACCGTGGTGCTCGTGCTCTACAAGTAGATTGGCCTTGCGAAAGATGCTGCCAATCAGGGTCAAATAAAAAGGGCAGCGACTTTGACTCTTTTTTTAATTCTCTCAGCATCGCTAACATACTCGCCCTGCGCCTGTACCTCAAACTGTAAGTTCGCTCATTCATTGTTAACGAACTCTAACAGACGACTAAGGTAGAGATGATCTCAGTCGAGCTAATATATTATGTGAAGAGATAAACCTCAGTAAAAAGCGCAAGTAAGGTTTACCTCAACCACTGAAGATATAACAATAGTTCAAGTAAAGTATATCTTTGCTACTCAAGATGAATCAATAAAGTTTAAGCAACGCGTATATTTAGCACTAAAGATTTGCGTTGTCCTACAGCCATTAAACAAACTACGCTTCAGAGTAACGACACGTCAGCCAACTTTTTACTAATTAAAATGATAGTTGCCTGTTATTTAATGTTTTATCTGGAATCGCAAAAAAAAAAACACTTCTTCGTTCTCAAAACAAATGTTTAAACAGTTTGGGACAGAGCAAAACGATATTGCCTGAGTTTCCTTTCACCGTATCTAAGGATGAGGAAGTCGCATCTTCGAATCACAGCTATCGCCGATTGCGCCCACTCTTCACTGGGCAAGAAAATGGCCATGCCCACAAGAGAATCTGTGAATGGAGTGCCCATACTCTAAGCGTAGTGGCTCTAGTAAAGCGGATATCTCCGATGAAGATTCGTTTGTTGCTATACAAACGGAACGAAAGGATTTGAATTACAAATCAGGGATACGTTATCCTAACTTTTCCTCCGAAAACCTACTGCACACAAACAATAACGAGTTTTACGCAGTGCTGTGCGGAACGGCGTTCCGAGGAACGTTGCAGGAAAGGGAAAAAAAACATTTAGTCGAATTATTTTTTGCAATTTTACCCAAATTTAATAAGGTTTTTTTTTTTTTTTACGATTATTTTAATCTCCGATTTTAGTTGATGGGAAAGCGTCCAAGAGATAGTAGAAAACAAAGAAATGGAAAAAAATGTGGTTGTAGAGACTCGACACGTAGTTCGATGTAAACATTTTCACTAGCTCGCTTTATTTTATTTAGGAATTATCCAGCACAATGCTTCATTAAACCAGACGATTGAAACGTTAATGTAGCGACCCGTTCCAACCTTAAAAATGTAACAGGAACTTTTGAGCTGCTGGAAATTGTAGCGGGAAACTCGATGCAAGATCGAAAAGGAACGAGAAACCAGCTTTTCTTCCTCTTTTGAAGGAATGTGTGCGACGCTGGTTTTATGGCAAGGACTCGTTTTACGGTAGATACGTTATTGGTAAGAAACTGTGCTCTATAAAGTGATGATACACCAATACTGATCTTGCGAGACTATAAGAAAGTAGCATTCAACACTATTAATTGTTTTTGGCAGTTATCACGAGGTCGTAGCTTTCGTGGGTCCATTAACGGAAGGAGCTATCTGCATCACCTCGAGAATGTCTCATCCCATGAGCGTCTCAAACGCGCAACGATGCGTGGTGGCGCACGCACGTTGCGCGTTTGAGACACGGGGGGGGGGGGGGGGGGGGGGGGGGGGGGGGGGCAGAAGTGCCCGCGCGGAGATGCGCTCCCATACGAAACCGAAACACAGAAACGCGTCCAAATCGAGCATTTTGTTCGAAACGCCGTAAAATGCTGCGCGTGTGTTATATAATTGTAATGTGAGTATATCTAGAAGATTACGATGATGCCCAGCAAGATTACAATAAAAACTATACTTTTAAAATAAGTAATTGACAATTTAATTACTCAAAATTATTTAGCTAAACAAGCAGATTGAACTATAATAGTTTTCCTTAATGGGCCCTTTGACACAGACCACCACGACATCAGCCTTTTTTCTGTGCGATGCGTACGTAGTTTTCGCAGGAACGAATTTGTCCGCGCTTCCGGAAACACATGTACACTTCACTGAGGCACCCAATCATGTTTTTGTTGTTGCTGGACTGTCTCAGAAAGTTATTCCCGAGAATAGAAGCATTGAAAGGACTAAATGTGACTTATTAATCCGACGATAAATATAAAGATTTAAAAAAGTACACTGCCGCAGATCGGATGAACAGTAGGCGTATTTTCGAGTACCGTCCTCCCGTGTTGGTCTCAAGCGGTTATGTGAATTTCATAGTCAAATTTAATTATGAAAATAAATATATATGTAATTATTGACTGAAGATATGACAACAGAAATGAATGACCGATCACTTTAAAGATATACATTATAAGTGAATGCCACCTCAAATTATCAGAAAGATGCTGTGCAAATCTTTTTCGGCGTTTTTACCATCGATAGGCACGTGTATCAGTGAGAAAGCCTGAGATTTATTTTAAAGCTCATTTAAATAACTATGCGTTCATGATAAATAAATAACTTTTCAAACATATAGAAGTCTGTTATTGACTTTTTTATGTGATAAACAGCAATGTTATGTGTCCGTGAGCTGGGCAAGAATGAAATACACAAACAGGGGCCCGTGGCGAAACTATGACGATTACGCATGCAGACTTCAAGAAAGCGACCAATTAAGTAGCTGCCATATCGAGTATAGAGCATAAAATACTACTTCGTTCTATTTAACAAAATGTTTTCAATTAGCAAGGGTGATGCTTATTTGGAAATTGAATTAACCGGCACTCTGTCAAGAAGAAACCTCAGCATGCATCACTCTAAAAAAAGCCCGTGCGCCTACTTTCTCGCACAACACTCGGGAAGCCAATCACCGCAACTTACGGAGGCAGCTCAGCAAATGACGACGTCGAAACATATGTTTAGACCAAAAAACGCAGTCCGAGTTATGACATTAAGCAATGCAAGCGTGACGTTTTGCATTGCTTAATGTCACAACTCAGACTGCGGTTTAGGTCTAAATATATGTTTCGGCATCGCCATTCGGTGAACTGCTTCCGTAAGTTGCGCTGATTGCCTCTCCAAGTGTTGCGCGGGAAAGTAGTCGCACGGGCTTTTTTTAGGGTGTGCCGGTTATCCCAGCGAGTTTATCCCTGAATAAGAAAATGTTCACTTGGGTACGCGCTATTTTAGGCCAGCTTCGATCTGAGTACGAAAGAGCGTACAGGTTATAGTGAAGAATTTAGACCACTCCTTTCTGCATGATTCTTCGCATACATCACTGTGGGTAAGGAAAACACACTCTAAAAAAAGCCCGTGCGTATGCTTTCCCGCACAACACTCGGAAAGCCAATCACCGCAACTTACGGAGACAGATCAGCGAATGACGATGCCGAAACATATGTTTAGACCAAAAAGCGCAGTCTGAGTTGTGACACTAAGCAATGCAAGCGTGACGTTTCGCATTGCTTAATGTCACAACTCAGACTGCGTTTTTTTGTCTAAACATATGTTTCGGCATTGTCATTCGCTGAGCTGCCTCTGCAAGTTGCGGTGATTGGCTCTCCTAGCGGTGTGCGGGGAAAGTAGACACACGGGATTTTTCTGAGTTAAGGTTGTCTACGTAACACTGCTTGCCTGAATGAAACCCGAGAGGATGCTTCGAAATTTTATAGTACAAAAACAACTTATAACAGTGAAGCCCTCACAAAAATTATCAATAAGTTTCAATTGAGTTTCTGATGTATTGTTATATAATAAATAAGAAATTCAATTGAAGCTCATTTATCAATTTTGTAAAGGCATTTTCCCGCCCACAGTAACTTTCCGGGAAAAGGCATTGGGGAACGCGCTGTAAAACTTGAACCACACGAGCGCGACGTGGAGCTAAGTGACAATTCAAGGCCAAAAAAAAAAACATCAAACCGAGAAAGTGGTTTGAGTATTCAAGATGTCGCGAAACAGTTCTTAGGTAAAAGAGGAATTTAGCAGAATAAGAACCGCTTCAAAAACAAAATTATAATTGGAATCACCATCCGTACCGTTCTATCTACACCAAATGTCTGCCAAGGCTGTATTCCCACAGCAGAGTTTTTAAATATGCATGCATTTGTTTTATAAAAACCAACACAATATGTCATTTTTATTCCACTGTTACATTCATAGGTTTGTACAATAGAAGCGGAAAAATAAAACAGTTCTCCAAAGTTATCACAATATAAGCAGTCATCCCAAGAAGTGTAAACCACTGCTATTCGTGGTTTGTTTCCTCTAGACATCATTGATAAATTGACGGCACAGCACGGCAGAAATCTGCATTGTTTTCAAGTTTTCCTTTCCTTGTGTGTGATAAAGGACGCAACTCGAGAACAATTTGTTATTTCCAGATTACTTCTTTACGACCTCAAGAACTTGACGTAACTCTCAGACCTTGATACCCAGGGTGGCGTATTTGCATTAAAACTAAAAGTAAAAAAAAAAAAAAAAAAAAACTAATCTAAGCCTTGCAAATACGTGACGGCGGGCGTAGCCAAGAATCACTCTGGAAGTTAATCCCGAACCACAACTAAGAAACAAACGGTACGTAAATCGAATCACGATGGACTGAAGCGAATGCGTGCGCACCTTCGTTGCAATCAGCGGACAAGCCTGCTCGAAAGCGTATCGTCATGGCTCGTTCCCAACATTTCCT